GAAAAATACAATAAAAAGTTAAATTCAGCTGACAATGTTTATCTAACAGAACTTATATATATATATATATATATATATATATATACACTGATTACTATAAATGTTATATTTAGGAGGTGCATGTATTTGAGTAGATGTAACTTCGCTTTCTTTTTAAACAGTAGAATTAACATCAACTGGCCTAAAGATTGAATGTTATTAAAGAAACTGTACCACCTGATGCAAATTGAACCTGTATTCCTTTCTTAATCTGGAAAACCACCTTTACGTCAGGCATGCTTTACCATTTACAAGTTGCAAGAAGGCATTAAGTCAAAATTGCCCTAAAAAAAAATGCATATCTCTCCTGGGGGGTCATTTCACAGTCTATATCTGCTAACTTACTTTCATGCTAGAAATGTAAACAGAGTAATATTTAAGCAATTCATGGAATTGTTAATTCTGACAATAATCTGATGAGAATGGCTTGAAGATGGTTTCCCAGAGTAAAGGGAATTAGATCAGGTTCAAGTCCTGTCAAGGGGTACATTTTTAATAAAACTTTCAATCTTTTGTAAATATTAATTCCACTGTTTTAAAAAAACAAAAATCTGGATGTGCACCAACTAAATAAGAACATTGATAGTAGTAGTAAGAAGAAATAATAATATTGGATTAATACATTCATTCATTGCTTTTATATATATATATATATATATATATATATATAGTATTGATTTGTTGTTCTGCATTATTTATTTAGAAAGCTTTATTTCCATTATCTGTACTTTGTAAATGGTCACCTATCCAGTTACTGTAAATGTTCAATGCTATGCGATCGGACGAGAAGTGGTGCTTTTAATGTTACTGGACCAAAAGTTCTGTTGTATTTTAACCATGACTAATTACCTGAGAGTTTACTACTGAGTTCCTAAGTGTATGTGATCTGATTCTGATAATTGTACTCGACTATGTGTAAAGTGCTTATTATCACAGACTAGGTTCAATGTTATCACAACTGCAATTAAATGTGTTTCAAATTGATCTTGAAGCCTCTTGAGTCAATGTTATGGACTTTTCAGTGATAAAATTATCAAGTGGTTTTCTTTTGGACTTGAATACGGGCATTCAAAGCTTCCTGATACATTTTGGTTGGTCACTTATTTAATATACTTCTGTCTGTCTGTCAAAAAAAAAAATTAAACAAGCTGTTTATTCAAGCCATGACTTAAGTTTGGATTTATTAAATCCTACTTTACACATGACATACGTAAAGATGACATTGTGAATTTTATTTTGCAGTTTTTATTCTTATACTTGGCTCTTTCATGGAATCTATCTTTTCATTTTCTGGCTTTGTAAACATTTGGAAACAGTCATTGTTATAAGTTGTGTATTTAGGCAGCAATCCTTCTCCTGATACATATTCCATTAAAAATGACTGTCAAGGTACATCTGTTAATATTTTTATTGTTTGTAAACAAGAGATTTCTATTTTGAACTTCATTAGTGTAGAAATTTCAGCTAATCTGTTGGCCATTTTCAAGTATTTTGGTTGTGTTATTGTAAAAATATCACTCAGGACCAACATTCATCATTTGGACAATTTCTAAACTTACTAAGACCAAGAGAAATCTTTTCACATGAAAGCAAAATACAATAACAAGAAAAACCCTTGTCAGTCATTTTTAATAAAAGTTAACAGTTAACATCACCAGGGAAAGGGAGATGATTCTTGTACAACTAAATTTTAGACATTACAAACAAAATCCACTTTACATATAGTTAAATGTCAACATTTTTATTCACTCTAATAATCATAGATCTTGACTCAGTAAATTGTCAGTTGGAAGAAAATGAAGCAAACAGGCTTATAATTCATCACTGACTGTTCATATACCAGTGATATTTTAGTCCTAATTGCCCATTGCTGGACTTAACATTATTCCAACATTCTACTCTTTCCTGGAAAAAAAAGAAACAAAATTAATAAGTTAAATAATTATGGTAGTAGTAGTAGTAATGGTGAAAATTAAAAAAAAAAAAAAAAAAAAAGTCTTAAGCATTGAATTTTTGAACAAATTTTACCAATGAAAATCAGAAAGAAATTGTTACCTACTAATTGAAGTAATCATGACTGACAACATTTGCAATTAAAAACAATAATAATAACTTTGTAATAAACCATCTTATATACAAGGTGTCCATAAAGTTCGTGTGCACATTTAAAAAAATTTTTAACTTTAAAGTGCACACGAACTTTATGGACGCACTATAATTATAATGATAATATTTTTATTATAAAATATTTTACGTTGCTACACAAAATTTTATGTTTCAGAACTTACAAATTGTTCCTCATCAGGCGATGTTGGATAACTTATGATAAATAATTTACTTGGGAAATCATAAAACAGTTCAGTAGCTCATTTGAGAGTTAAAAAGGAGCGGGGGAGGAACCAAGATTCCAAAATCAAAAAAACACATTTCTGGGTATGTCTTGTTTAACCAATCAAAAGACGGATCAAAACTAAAATAGAGAAATGAAAATAAGGTCAGAAGTTAGGGGTAGGTGGGTTAGTAATTCGTGTCTAGATAAATTGAAACTTTTAGGCATGTCATCACAGACGACATCCAGTTACAAATATAAATTTAAGATACTGTAAAGTAGACAGAGGGATATATTTACCGAAAGGCTAATTTTAAGAATTTAAAAACAATATATATATATATATATATATATATATATATATATATATATACACTTCAGAACTATCTTAAAGAGGCCTCTAGTGTAATTAAAACGTTTTTATATGTATTTTGAACCCAAAATATGATACTTGTTATATTGAATGGGCAATAAAACATGTCAATATTAAAGTTGAAAAATGAAAACAAATAAATATATATATATATATATATATATATATATATATATATATATATATATATATATATATATATATATAGGTTTATCTTCTTAATTTCTGCTCTTTTATTGTTCTCTCTCATTAGCATTTTCTTCTCCATATTCTCTGACACTCCCCTTGCATCTTAGTGGCCTTATTGCCTTGTTTGGAAGGAAATGTTTAAAAAAAAAATGAATACAAATTCCATAGAACATTCATCTTGATGAGGCACCATTTAGGATTCAAATGAATGGAGCACACGGCAAAATTAATTTGGAAGTAAGGAAAGAACCCTGTACAAGAAATACAATTTTCCTGATTTGAATACTCTCAAAACAATAGAAATGAAGAAAGGGCTGTAACTGTGTTTTGTAAATTACAAAATTCATTGGATAAAAGTACAACACAAGGTTCTTCTGGAAACATAAAGGAAGCTTGATTGATATGGCAAAACTACTCCAATAATCCATCACCTGTATTGGGAATGAGTAGCGTGTTTGCAGATAGAATATAAGTTCATTGAATACACAAAAATAGAAAGACTATGACAACAAGGACATGTTTTCTTACCAGATTTATTTAACCTCTACAATGCAATGATTTGAACTGGATTAGATGATGTGCTGGATTTTATCAGCTGACATAACAATATTTGTTATGTCAAATTCAGTGCAGATGGCAGATTCATAAAGAAAGCAAAAAGAAAGGTCTGGTGACTGTAAGATGACAGTGTACTTATGTCAGCAAGAGGGAATGAATTGAGTTATGAATTAGAAACATCAGCATGTTCAGAAATGTAACTATTTGGGTAGTGTAATTAAAGATAACAGAAAATGTGACCCAGAAATTCAAGAGTGCATTGGAATGGAATAGCAGAATATATGCCACACTTCTATTCGACATTGAATGCTGGATAGATTTAAAAAAAAACAAAAAAAAAAACACTCAAAGCAACAAATGTCATTCTATAGATGGATATTGCTATGATGTGAATATGTGAACAAGGAACTGTTAAAGAAAATGGGAACTAAATGGACGCTTGAAATTGGAAAGAGATTGTTGAAATTTCTTGGACACATTATGATGAAAGGCGGCATATTGAATGCAGGATAGGCAGTAAGAAACATTGAGTAACTTACCTGATGAATTTGTGGCTAACAGAGTTGGGGACAAAGAAGGATGGTAAAGAATCAAACAATGCTTAGAGTTAAAAAGGACAGGAAATTGTGGAGAGCTATGATTGCCCACATACTGAAAGAAGACAATTCCTAAAAAAAAAGAATGGTAAATCTATCAAATTTTATTTTGTGTTAATATCTCTTAATATTTTAAAAAACTAAATAAAGGCTCTTGTTTGGAATTTGAAGGGTCTGTTTACTTTTGTCAGGTTTCTGTATTTATATTTATGCTTTTGGCCGTTTAATTAAAGTATACATTGAAGGAAAAGATTTAAAAAAACAAAAACAAATAAAAAACAGTTGTCTATTCTCTTTTGGAAGAAAGATAAATACTTGAGTTATTAAAAATCTAATTTTTCATTTTTTAATCTAATTTACTGAAATCATTTACACTAAAATAGTTTCAATTGCCATTCTTCAGTCTTAGAGAGATTTTTACTCAATGCCATTTATTCATAGATGATTGTAGCAATTACAGATGTTAGAGTTTCATGACATTTGGTGTTAAAAACAAAAAGAAATTAGCCAAACACTATTATGATTATACATGCACATTGAAAATTCCTTGAAAGTTGATCTGTTTATGGTTTTATCTGTGAACATTTTTTATTTTTTTTTATCTTTTCTAAACTCTCCTAAGTTGTAAGTAAAGCACGTTTGACATGTGAATGTGTGTATTAAATAATCGAGGTAACTTAAGAATTTCACAACTTTAGAAATAAATTGTTTGGCATTAACAAAGCAACATCTGCCAGGGATCTTTCAACTGAAAGTGTAAATGTTTGTCAGGAAATTCCTGATACCATTCGCAGAAGGTGCATCTTCTGGTCTTTTTCTATTTACCTGTGTACTCTTGGTTCTTTATCAAAGAAATTGGTCATTTTGATTGGAGAGCAGGTATTAGTGGAGTTTGAAATTCAGCCTTGACTCTCAAATGAACAATTGTGGCCTTTCTCCAACTTCACTGCCTTATTCCTGTAATTATCTACATAGCTACCTTACTGTTGATTTTACTTTCCTACTTACCTGTACTGACTTTTATTTACCTCCCCTCTCTATTAACTTCACTCTATAGCTCACTCTCACTTTCTTGAATTCCTTTCTGAAGAATTCAATCGTTTTTTTTTTTTCACTCCAATAATGTTCTCTTCACATTCGATATCCCATTCCACTGTCTTTTTCTTCACTTTACTGCTTCTCTCTTTCACTTTACTGCCTCTCTCTCTCACTTTACTGCTTCTCTCTTTCACTTTACTGCTTCTCTCTCTTTGTGTATAATTCTTACTTGTTTTTTTTTTTTTTTTTTTTTTTTTTTTTTTCCCCCCCCCCAGTTTGTCCTTTCTCTGAATAAGTTCTCTCTTTCTAGATTTCAGTTACTCTCCTTATCCAACACCTCTTTTAATTATTACCTATGCCTTCATCACAGGATTTCACTCCTCTCTCTCTCTCTCCTTTCTCTACCTTGGGAGAGTTCACCTGACTTTTTGTCATACTCTTTAATTTTGTTTCTTTATCTTTTTCTCTCTTTTTAAACTTCTTTTTAACACACAACTAATTTTACTGCAAGTAATTCTCTCTTTTTCTCTCTCTCTCTTACCCTCCCTCCTCTCATCTTCTGTCGACTAATTCCTAGTTTTTCTTCTCTCAACAACTGCCCGTTCAGTTCTACTCTCGGTCAATAAGTAATTTGTTTACCATCACTTAATTATTGCTTACCTAACACACACTGGACTTGAACCGTAGTTGTATTCAGTTGTTATAATGAATCTAAGCAAAATGGTCATAAAGCGCTGGTGTTTTTATTGAAGAAAGTGCCCATAACACTAATATGCTCCAAAACGAGACCCAACCCTGTACCTTGCCCCCTCAGCACACCCTTGACTACTCAAGCCCGACTCTTGTTGCTTATCCCAACCGGGTAAAAGTTGATGTAAGGAAATTTACTTTGATTCTTTCTATTTGCCTATGTTCCTTTTGATGTTCCCAACAAACTGCATTATTGCAAATCAATTCTTATATATTTTACATTTTGAGGATTTTATAAGTACATATATGTATTGATTGTATATAGGTTATGGAAATAGATTTTGCTTAATTTTTGGCCTTGGCATTTAACTTCATCCTGCAGTAAATTAAAGCTGAAGATATTTTCAAATCATTTATTGAATTAAATAATAATATTAAATTTGGTTGAACTTTTTTATATTTCTTTTTTCTTTTTAAAATATGAAATACTCAAACCATTAGTGTTTTGTTGACAGATTTTTCACTTATAGTAAAAGCTTTCTAGTTTCTTTTAAATAATTCAAATTGTAAATGTAATAGTGTTTGTTTTTTTCCCAAATATCTTTAGACTTTTAAATTGATTTCTTACGATGGTTTCAGATGATCAAAAAGGTGTGATATTTTTTCAAAGCAAGCAAGAAAACCTTAAGGATTAGTTTTGAATATACCATCCCAGTGTTTTTCATTCTTTATTTCTTTTTATTTAAATTATTTTTATTTTTTCCTTTTTTAGAAAGTGTTTTTTAGGAATAATTGAGATATGAAAATAACTAAAACTGCTGTTATTGAGCCAAATTTCATTGTACATGTTTTAGGCAGAGCTTTTACTGAAGTAATAAAAAGTATTTTTTTAAAAATATTTTTGGAATATTTATAATTTTTATTTCATAGACTTTGTGAATCCTACATTGACATAAAAAAAAGATGAAAGAAGCTAATGAGTTTCTAAATTCTTTAGTTCTTTTAAAAATGATGTTGGAAAAATGTTTTTCAATTTATGTTCAGAAAAAGATATTTCCATTTTTAGATTCATTTACCAACTTGTGTAGTTTTGTTCTTGCACCATGTGTTTGCGTGCAAATGGAAAAGCTCTATCTGAAATTTTTGTTCGGATAAATTTTATTTCCCTGAAACTGAATAGTTATAATGAAAAACAATATGAGGCATTCTCTCTCAAGTTAATTTTTACGTAGAATTTTTTCCTGCCTGTACATAAATGGTTTTATTTTTTTCCTTATGACTTGAAATTTTCAGGATATGAACCTAATGTTTACTTGGTTAAATATTTTAACTGGTGTAATTTGTTTAAAAAGAATTTAATTTTAATGTTTGGAAATGAATATACATAGAATTACTAACTACAGGATTAAAAAAGCAAAAGCAAAAAAAGAATTTCTGTAAATACAAATTCAGCCTCTTTCTCAGAATTCAGAAAACTGAAACCAAACACTTTTCCCTTTGGGATGTGGATAAAAATGATCAGATTTTCATAACTTTTTTTAGTAATAATTTTGTGCAATTTTAGGGCCTGTTTTTATCTTATTTAGAAATAAATTAATATAGTTTTAATTTCCTGAATTCAGATTGAATATTTACATGGTTCATTACAAATACACTGCCCCCCACTTCCATAAGTGACTTGTTTATTTCTATATATGATACTTAACATGAAAGATTCAAAAATCAAAAAAAAATTATCTGAACTTAATGGTGTTGGATTTAAAGACCTTACTTAGCTCATTGATTCCCAACATGGAGCACATGCCTCACCAGTGGGCTATGTGTAGGATGTATACCCTTCGGCTTACAATACCAACATGAGCTCAAATTTCATTCATATTTTATATTTCTGCCTTTCAGTTCTTTATTATATGTTTTGAAACTATATTTAACTGTCTTTTTATTTTTTTTAAATTTTTTCTTTCATGGAGGCCATGGTCTTTGAAGGCTTGTTTAGAGACCAAGTTAATGACCTTTTAAACTTTCTTCACGTGAATTGCAGTAAAATTTTGAATATGTAAGAATTAAATATTATGGGGAGTGAGGGGACACCAGAATTTTAGAAAATACCAAAGTGGAGCATGGCCCAAAATTGGTTTGGAACAACTGCTTTAGATACAACTATGAGAAATTTTATTTTTAAAAAAAAAAAAATATCCATGGAAAGATATGTCAGTTTGATTAAATCCTGAATAAAATTTTGGAAGTAATTGTCTTTAACTCAAACAATTTTAATGGAATCTTATTAAACTGAGGCTGAGGATAAAGATTTTTTTTACCCAAACCAAATGTATCTGAATTTAACTTTTTCTATACAATACCAGAGAAAGTAACCAAGTGAGATTAAGAACCGATGATGTCTAATTTAATTGAGAGTCAAATTGGTCAAATATTTGGTCACTTACACGTCAAATTGTAAGGGTTGATAAAACAAATCAATTCTATCACAATAAATTTTTCACCCCATCTAAATTGTTAATCACTCTATTAATCCATAATTTTCTTGCCATTGTGTTTCATAATATTTTTTTAGTTACTTGTTTATTATTTGCAATTATTTGTTTGGCAATCATTAAAGTCTTTTATGTTAACAATCAAAAAAAATTCTCTCATATAGAACTTTAGAGAAAGATTAGTCAAATAACCATCATATCTTTGTGATAGCTTCTATTCATTTATCCAGAGTGTGGGCCAGGGTTGTGTTACAAATATTGCAAACTAAGTGACCATCTAAGGTACTAAAATCTTTCTAAAAGGAGCAATTGGCAAAGTATAGGGACCCAAATAACCTCATGTAATACGTTGGGGGTTAATCTCATCAAAACATATTGAATGGGGGGGAGTTTGGGAGGTGGGGGTTGGATTGTCCTCGAGTGTTCAGTATTCTCAGAGTGATCCAGCTTTTTGCATTACTGTCATTTATGATCAACTTTGCTTTTGTTAGGAAATTATTAATTTTATCTCAAAGCAAATATGTCAACTTCTGTTTGTTAATTATTTGTGTTTAAAGTTACTTTTTATTATTTCATATTATAACCCTTATTCAATTGTATCAAAATGTAATATTTCATGTTACAGTTAGCTTCAAATGTAGTAAGAACATTCATACTAGTAAAATCTGTTTACATATCAATGCTGTCTGTTATTTCTTCCCAAAGCAACTAGACCTTTCCAAATTGTGTGTTTATGTCTCTGCAGAAACAACACTGATGTTTAGTAAAATAGATGAGGATGCACATTACTAAGGCTTTTTTCCCTCACCACATTCAAGAAGTCCAGATGGTCTGTGAACAGATGGCCAGCTTTGAAAGTAATAGTGGCATTAATTATACCTTTGTTGTCAAGAAACATTGATTAATCTACAAGAGTTGGTTTTAAAAGCATTTTTTCTAAGAAGTATTTGGTTGGTGCATAATTATCAGGCGTTTTTAAAACAATATTTATTATGAAAAAAGAAACATAACAATTCAACATTTTTAAATGATTATTCCAGAGAGTATGATTATCAACACACATTTTTATAACCTTGAAAATAAAATATTTTTATTAAAAAAAGTAAACAAAACAGCAATTTTTCTTAAATAAATCACCTACAAAAACTCCTGATAATTATGCACCAACTCAGTAGAATTTAGAAGTAATTTATTAGTCTTATTTATTAGTCTATTATTTAAGAACAAATGAGTTACGATTCCTTTCTTAATGATTCCTTACATATGTCATTTGATTCAACATCAAAATCCTTTTGCCTACTGGAATTTGTTGGTAAGTTTAATGATTAAAAATAATACTTTCATGTAAGTTGACTGACAGCAAAAGCATTTTGAGTGTGAGAAACTTAAATTTTCTTTTTCTTTTAAAAATATGAATCAATCTTAATTTTGATACAAGAAAATTTAACTTTTCACTCTTTTTTTTGTTTTGTTTTTCTTCTTTTCTAGGAGCAGGCCAAAGTGAAAAATAAGTCTGCCACGCCGCCTAGTGATGAACGTGATGACGAAGTGTCTCCCACTCCACCACACCACACGATACCAAAAAGGACACGGCGGGGTGGAGTCAGTGCTGAAGTATACAAGGAAGAGGATGCTGCATTATATGTTAAAAAGGTTAGAATTCATTTAATATTAGAAAAATAAATATATAATTTTTAAAGTTATTGTTGAACTAATTGCATTTGGAAGAGTCTTTTATCAGCAAGAAGTGAAATTTCAAAAAAAAAAAAAAAGGTGACCCTGCAATAATCTTCATATTCCTCTTATACTTAGTTGGGACTTATGTCACCTGTTTGAGGTGTGATTAATATTACATATACCACATATAGCCATAATGATGCTTTTCAGTGTAAACACTAAAGATAAATGTAATTGATGTAAAGGCATTATCTGTCCGATGAATAACAAATGTATGTATAAAGGCATTATCTATAAGGCTAGCATCATGCATAATGGTGAAAGCAAATTTTATTTCGGCTCAACAGTAAATAGCTGGAAAATGAGATTTTACCATCACAAAATGACACTTAACAATAAGTAATATGCAAAAGCCACAGCACTCTCAAAATTTTACTTGAATATTAAAACAGATGACTACACACCGGTAGTAAATTGGGAGTTTGTTACCAAAATTACATCCCTTTTGACCAAGGTGAACAATGCAACCTGTGTTTGCTGGAAAAAAGATTCATCCTCAAAAATATTAATTTAAATTTGCTTAATAAATGAAATGAACTCATGTTAGGCTGTAGTCATAGAAAGAAGTTTCTCTTAAAATATTTTAATCCTAGATAAATATTTTATTCAAATGCACATACCATATTTTAGGTTATATATTGATTACCCCCACTAATCATTTTAGCATATATTTCCACTTAAAACATGAAGCTTTTTTAAACTTGAAACTTACTTCAAATTTTTTAAATTTTAATTTTTTTATTTAATTTTTTTTTTAATTTCAAATGGCCCCTACCTACACTCTATTTTCTGTATTTACACTTTAATATTATATTTGTTTTGTTTTAAATTTGAGTTGTGAATCTGTGTGTAATTTAACATTCCTCTCATGAGACCCAGTATATTATTTTTTTTTTTTTTTTTTTAAATCATAAGTTTATATCTCATACCTGATGAGTTGGTAAAACAATGAAATTTAAGCCACACTCCAAACATATATATATATATATATATTTCTTAGCTCTGTCTAACTACATTGAACACTGTTATGTTTACATCTTACAGGTAAAGTTAGTAAATATTTATTTACCTACCTGTGTATGCACATTAGCACACATAAACAGTTGCTAATATCTAGTTATTTGATTTACCCACCTCTATACATATATCTCCAGATAAGATGAGAATGAATAGAGTACAATTCCAATGTTTGTAACATTTAATTTAAATACAATACAAAGTAGAGCAATATTCTTTATTTTTGGATTGTACATTGAATAAACATTTTTGCTGCCATTGATTTCAAATCTACGAGTCATGACCCATTTATGAAAAATAATTTCTTAATTTTTGCTTCTTCCCTTAGTTTAAATTTAACATATGTCATATTTGATTGATTGATGTGAGTAAATCCCACAAACCTTATAAACCCCCATTCTTTTTTTTTTTCACAAGAAGAGGCTGTATTTTGCTTTTAAATCTGAATAAATTGTTCACTTGCTAGTAATTTACTATCGCCTGATGAGATGCGTTGATACACATCGAAACATGATTGCAACTGTGTACTGATTTTGACAGGTTTTTAATGTAATATCCTAAAATAAAAAAGTGTGTGTGTGTATATATATATATATATATATATGAGAGAGAAAGCAGTGATGTTAGAAGTGTCCTTTTAGTGTCTCCATTTAAATGTCAGCAAGAATGCTGAAAATCTGAGTTAAGGAAAATATATTTTTAAAGTAGATTAAACAAGAATTTAAGCTTACTCAAAGAATACAATTTCTATTGAAAGCCTTCTGCAAACCCACCACAGCCCTAATTGTGGCAAAGAACTACCCCCAAAACTATCAGATCTCTTTGGTTATATAACACATGGTGGGGGTATAAGGAAACAACTAATATTGCCATTACCATAAGCAACTGGTAAAAATAGCAAGAAAATTTGGACTCTTTAACTTTGAATTCAAAGCAGAGAGTTGAATTCAATCCTTGACTCCTCAAGTTACATGTTAAAAATTACAAAATGTAGTGGGTGGGTCTAGGAATCTTTAAAAATTACTTTCTAATTGGTTGAGGATAACCAGTATCCTTTCAATGAAACAGTTTTAAAATTTTTTTTTTTTTTTCATATAAATGGCAATTAAACAATTATGGAGCATGAAAGAAAAGATTTTTGTCTCCATTTGAACCGAGAGGTTATAAGTGGGTGATGTTTTGTTAGTTGTGGTCACTGATATTGAGGTCTTAAAGGTTAAAATCATGGCTTATTGAGAGAAAAGTAACAATGAACCGTTCCAAACTTGAAGAGATTTCAATTAAGAATGGCAGTCCATGTTACAGAGATATTGCACAAATGTCAACTGATATGAAAATGAGAGGAGGAGGAGTAGAAGGTTGGACCCTCACTTTGCTCAGTGCCTGATTCTTCCAAACACAAAAATTTCTTTGTAGTCAGTCAAAATAAAAGATCAATCCAACCTTGTCTTCAATGATCAGTTAGGTTCTCACCCCTAATGTTTGATCACTTGCTTTGAATGAAAAGCCTCCTTTGTTTGCCTCACTCTTATCCGTATACCTGTTCAAAGAGATTCTTTACAACTCTGTAAAGACTGTTCAGAAAGTATTCAGCCGACAGAAAGTGAAGGTGCATTGGGATATCCAAAGATTCATTCCAAAAGCTAAACAGTCTTAAGAAATAGAAATACTTTGTTAGAAGCAAAGAAAAGAGTACTGAACTGTTACATGATATCTGTCCTACTTAATAGCAGTGAATGCTGGACAATCTCTACAAAGATGAAGAAGCAACAGAAATGTCATTTTACAGAAGGATGATGAAGATATCATGGACTGAATATATGCGTAATGACAAAATTTTAGAGAAAATGGACTTGGAGAATTTAATACCCATAAGACAGATTGAAGGCAAGAGGGATAGAAGATAACAACTCATAACATACATAGTGAACTTGAGTAAATGGATGGCGGAACAAGGTTTAGATGAGATAAGAAAATGACAAAATTTATTGAGCTACAAAGGACAGGAAATTGTGGAGAGCCATGATCACCTACATTCTGAGGGAACAAGGCATATAAAGGATAAACACTCTGAAAATAATGCCTTTTAATATATTTCTTAAGAAACTACAGCAGAAATAGAAAGGGCAATAACACCTTTTGAATGAGCAAATTTTCAGCTGTAAATTAAAAAAAAAAAACCAAAAAACCACTTAGTCACAATTTTTGTTTTCACATTCCTAAGGTGCTTTTTATTTCATGGATTGGTAATTAAACAGTGTCAGCAATTATTGGTGACTGTAAAGTGGTGTCATTTTATTTATTTATTTATCCATTTTTTTTAAAATGGAGGAATTCAATGAATCAATTCTGATGCATATGCACATTCATGTCAGATATAATTTTGCCAGATTTTTGTAACAAATCAACAATAATAAAAAAAAAAAGTATCATGCATTATTGATGGAAAGGTACACTCCCTACCACCATACCCCCATCAACATCTGCTTCTTGTCTTTATTTGCCAAAAGCTAATAAAAGAGGAAACCTTTGTTTGTATTGTGACCGTCATAATATTTATAAGATGAAAAAGAAAACTAAAATGCCTACCTATGGCATTAATAGCTCACTCACTTTTTCAAACACTCTTTTTGGAACCTCATGTGCTTATCTCTATGTTTTACACTTTGTTAAACGGTCTGCAAAGTCAATTTTGAGATTGTCATCAAATATTTCATTGCATTCTCCTTAATCTCATTCATTGCATTGCAACAGTAATTTCAGCCTTGGGAAAAGTCAAAGATTCTGCAGAGCCTAATCTAGTGTGCTCTGAGCAATTAGGGTGATCTAAGTTTTGCCCCAAATTCTGTTCATGATATGAAAAACCCACTTACAATGATCATATATTAGCAATATTTATTCAATGACATTTTATTGCTGACTGAGTAACCTCATGGAAGTGTGTCCATGCATGTGCAATAAGGTCCATTTTATTTGGTTGACATATTACATCAAAGTGGCACAAAGATAGATTTGTACTGTGGTAATTGGACTTATATAAATTAAATCAATGTAAATTTTTGGCTGGTAATAGAAACCCTGAAACAACATATATTGAAAAAAATACTTGGCATATAGTTTTTGCCTACAATTGTGATCATATAGCTCAGTAATTTTTGGCTATACACCTGAGGTCAACACCATGCTTGAACACAATCTTCAAGCCATGTGTATTGTGTTTGGTTTGTCAATGATGCATTATGAATAGCGAAGTCTATTGTATTATCCTTATGGTTACTTGGTGGATAGTAATGGTTATGTTTCAAATTTTTCTAGTGGCTATTGAGTAGAAATAAATGTTGTTCCAAAGTTTCGTAACAGTTTTATTTTATATTTACATATGCTCTATCACTGATATTGAGCACTTTTTTCTCTCTCTCTCACACACACACACACACACACACACACACACACACACACACACACACACACACACACACTTATGTATTGATATGTTTTTCGAGTGTCACCATGATATCTCTACATGATAATTCGCTCTTTCTTTCTTCTTCCCCCACCTCTGTTTCACTTTTTCTTTCTTCTTTCTTTTCCCCCACTCCCCTGCTTTACCATTCATCTTTCTTTTTCCTGTCTAAAGACTTATTTAAGAGGTCAAATTGTCTGGCCTCTTGACTGGAGTACACTTGAACATAACTTAATAAAGATGGATTTAAACACAACCCTATCCCTACCTTCTATTTCTAATTTAGATCATTCTATGGTCCTCCCTCTCCCACACTCTCTGTCACCAAATACTATCCCCTAAAAAACTTGTATTAAAAATAAAAGAAAACAAATTCCTTTGTAACTAGAGATCTGACCTGATGAACCAGGAAAAATATATTTTCTGGGGAAATAAATTATAGTCATGGAACCTTAAGGTTGTCTCTCTTTTTTAATTTAATTAATATTTGCACTGTTGTTACATCTGGCTGGCATCCTCTTTGGAATTATCCATATGGATTACCAAACCCCTCATTACCTCATATATATATATATATATATATATATATATATATATATATATTTTTTTTTCCTTTACCAATGTGTTTCATACTTTGAGGGACCTTATCAAGCTAAATTTACCTTCATAAAGTCCTTCAAGGGGATGAAATGCATTGGTAAAGAAAAGTTTTCATAATGTCTTTTTACAGATATATTTTATTTATATCTGAATTTTTACACACACACATGATGTGTGTATGTTTAAACTCGAAAAGTTTCCAATATATACACAGTTATGTTAACCACAAAAAGTAGGTGTGTACAATTTTAAAAAAAAATAGTCTGTTTGGATTGAAGGAGAAAAAAATCTTTCTTTCTCTCTTTCCATTTCTGACATGGTAGGCATATATAAAACTTATTTTTTCAATTTTATTAAGAAGAAAATGATTTATTTATCTATTAGAATTTTATTCAAACTTTTTCTCATAACCAGCTTTTGCTTCATGCACTTATTAGATTCTGACATCGACCATCTTTCAAATCCTTTGAACTTCACTTATACATGGATTTCACTTTATTTTTTGTATTTTATCATTCTTAACACAACAAACTTCTCAACGTTTTGCAACTGCTATGAACATTACTTGTCTTACACATTCCAAAATAAAGTAAGCTAAATTTAATGGCAGAGTGCTTGAGAATTTCTTTTGAAGTTGCTTATGTGCATCTTGTCTCTTGCAAATGTTGAACTTAGATGGATTCTGCAGATTTTTTTTAACATGGTTGCATCTGAATTTATGACAATGCTGTCAACAAGTTACATTTGAGAGTTCAAATTAAAGGTTTCTTTTCTGAAAATTTAGTTTTTAATCAAAGCCTGGTTTTTAAAAGAGCTCGTTTTTGAATTAAAAAATTCTTTCAGAATTCTTTGAAGCTGGTTCAGAATTATATAATGACCTTTAAAATTCAAATGTGGCTCTCGGATTTAATTGTAATGATATAAGTCTGTTCCTTGTTCATGTTAGTCAAACGAGAGATTCAGGTTTTAATTTAGTTTCATCCATTTGAATTTAGAGAGTGTAATCCTATTATGTCCAACAATCTTCTTAGATCAATTCAGAGATTATCTTCTGGAGCATGCTCTTTTTACGTCTCTGCTTTCATGAAAAGAAATCAAGTGATAGCAGTCAACTTCCCTTTTTTTTTTTTTTTTTTTTTTTTTTTTTATGGAATCTGGATTGTTGTGTGACTGAATGGTTTCATGAATCTAATATAGAATTTATTAAGAACAAATAATTGTAGGATGAATTTAATAATTTGTTATTTTCAAGAATTACTTTTTGTTTGGATATGTGATCTGCAATTTAGGATAACACTTGAACAAAGAGAAAATGTATTTGATAAAGAATGGAACAGTCCATAATATACAGATGGACAGTTCGTTTACCTTGATTTTGTGAACTCCTCTAGTCATAAAGAAATCTCTCTCTCTCTTTTGTGTGTGTGTGTGTGTGCATACTAAAATAGGATCTTGGCTTGATTCATTTCCCAAAATGTAACAAATCTCTCCCTCTCCCTCTCTCTTTCCATCCCTCTCTCTCTCCCTCACCCTCTCTCTTTCCATCCCTCTCTCTCCCCCCCCCTCACCTCTCTCTCTCCCCTCTCTCTCTCCCTCCCTCTCTCCCTCACCCTCTCTCTCTCCCTCACCCTCTCTCTCTCCCTCACCCTCTCTCCCCTCTCTCTCTCCCTCACCCCTCTCTCTCTCCCCCTCACCTCTCTCTCTCCCTCTCTCCCTCCCCTCTCTCTCCCTCTCTCTCTCCCTCCCTCCCCTCTCTCTCCCTCACCCTCTCTCTCCCTCCCCCCTCTCTCTCTCTCCTCTCCCTCTCTCCCTCTCCTCTCTCCCTCTCTCTCTCTCGCCCTCTCTCTCTCGCCCTCTCTCCCTCCCTCTCTCTCTTTCGCCCTCTCCCCCCGACACACCGTCTCTTGCCCTCTTCCCCTGTCTCCCTCTCTCAACCGTCTTTCTCTCTCTCCCGTCGCCCTCTCTCACTTTTACTCTTTCACTTTCTCTTTTCTGTTCTTTATCTTTTCTTTCACTCTCTCCTCTCTCTCTATTTTCTCTCTCTCCTCTCTCTCTTTTCACTCTCTCCTCTCTCTCTTTTCACTCTCTCCTCTCTCTCTCTTTTCTCTCTCTCCTCTCTCTCTTTTCTCTCTCCTCTCTCTCTCTTTTCTCTCTCTCCTCTCTCTCTCTTTTCTCTCTCCTCTCTCTCTCCCCTCTTTTCCTCTCTCTCTCTCTCTCTCTTTTCACTCTCTCCTCTCTCTCTCTCTCTCTCCTCTCTCTCTCTCTTCCTCTCTCCTCTCTCTCTCTTTTCTCTCTCTCTCTCTCTCTTTTCTCTCCTCTCTCTCTTTTCCTCTCTCCTCTCTCTTTTCACTCTCTCCTCTCTCTTTTTTCACTCTCTCCTCTCTCTCTTTTCACTCTCTCCTCTCACTCTCTCCTCTCTCTCCTCTCACTCTCTCCTCTCTCTCTTTTCACTCTCTCCCCATTCTATATATGAGGATATATAAAATATGTTACACATATTACTGTCACTGAAATAAATAAAAGAGAGTAAAATTACACATGAAATTTAGTCAATCTTTTAGTCAATTAGTCATTGATTTTTTTCTCTTTTTTTTTTTTTTTTTTTACCATTAATATTTTTTCATTTTCATAAATCTTTTGATTAATTTGAGTTTCTTTTCACCCAGATATTTCTGATTGTTAAAAAACTTTGCATATCATATTGATTTATAAGAATTACAAATTAATGGTTATATAACAATATGTTGGTGGTGATGATGATGATCTTGTCATGTTTCTCACCATGGAGATACCACAAATGACTTGGTAACCTGCTTCCGCCATCTCTCTTCATTCTGAGATTCTTTCAGTGTGTTGCTCAATTTCATGCCTGTCCATTCCTGTTAGTTTGCATCTCTTTACTGAGTCTTCCTCCATGGCACCAAATGACTTGGCAGCTGTTTTTATTTCTTTTTCTTGCTTATAAATAAATGCTGACATCACTTAAAGAATAAATAAGAAAAAATACACATCTCTTAGGTTTGTTTTAAATTTTACAAATGTAACAAATATTAGTAATCTAATTAAATTTTTAAATTCCTTTTCCTGACAATACTAAGAATAACAAACTTTTTTTTGTATTTGTTGTAGCTTTTTTAATTTTTTATTTATAAGAACAAACTTAATATTTAACAGTTTTAAACTGTATTGTAGAATCTTTAAGTTTATTAATTCTCATTTCTCTGTAGCAGCATCAATGTTAGAATTTGTAATCAAGAATTAAATCCTTATTTCTATACATACCTGGTTATATAGAAGCATTTGTCTATTGTGTAAATTTTTTTTTTTTTAATCTATATTTGAAGGTGATTACAGTTAATTATTTTCTCTTTCATTAAAGGCAAATTAATAAAAATTGATGAACAGTTGTGAAGGTGTTGAGAACTTTATATCTGACCAAGAAGTAAATGACTTAGAACCATGAAATATTCATGCTAGTTCACTATATTCACTTTACAATTCATTGTAATACTTGGCACAGTTTTCTTTAGATTTTTCCCTGAAGAAAAACAAAATTCTTATGTTTGCTCATTAACATATTGAATGGGGAAATGGGTCAGGCTGTTATGCACTTTTATTTCGTCTAGTGGATGTGCAGCTGATGTAATGGATATTGGCTCAGAATGAGAAATTGGAGAGCTAAGTTCGATTCCAGTCAGGTTCATTACATTCACTTACACACAAATATCCTTAGCAAAGGTATAAAGACTTTTATCTGGAAAAATCATATGCAATATTAAATAATCCACAAAGGATTGATAAACCATAAAAAATAAACCAATCAATTATATCAGATTTGAAATTTGTTAAAACACAGCATAAACTTAAATTTCCTTTAAATATCACTAAACACATTTCTAATATGCAGGTAAGAATTTTGATTCAGAAAAAAGAGCTATTTATTAATAAAAGCAAAATTTGGAAGCAAAACTAATTTTGCTGCATTAATGTTTTATTATTTGGAGGTTAGACATTTTTAAAAATAAATTATTCATAATTATTGCTTTTAAAGATTGTAATTAATCATTTGTCTGACATTTGTTAAAAATATTTTGAAGAATAAACCATAAAACTCCTTATTACAAAATAAATCTTCAGCCATAGTGACATGACCAGAATTCCTCAAAATCAGTAAAAATAATGGCAGAATTTTTAGAAGCGACACGGTAATTAAATCAATATTATAAGGAGAGGGGGTGGGGTGTAGAAAGAAGAATGGAATTTCTTTACAAAGAAAAGTGAAATTAAATTTTAAAATCACCAAACGCAAACTGCTAAATCTGAAATGCTTATACTTGTAGACAATTACTCAGATACAGTTGTGCAATTGTTAAGTAAACTTTCTTATTTATTATTCAGACATGATTTTGTAATTTCATTTTAAAGTTAAACCAGGTGTTGATGATTTAAGAGGTTGGGTACTTGAAAGCTATCAAAAATATTTTCTAGGATGATTTTTTTTTTTTCTGGTAGAAAAATTTTTTTTATGTCACTTTTTCATATAAAAATCTATTTATTGTATAATAGAATTGTAAACAAAAATAAAATTAGTTATTTTCCACCAAATTGGTCAACATTTAACCACAAATGATACAAATTCTGTTGATTTTATGATCATAGTTTTTATGTGAATATTAATCAGCATTCAAAGAGTTTTCTAAAGATATACAACTTAACCATATTGGGCGTTATAAAAATGTTATCATATAGTAGCAAATAAAAGTTCACCACAAAATTTCACCTGAGGAAGGCCAGAGTGTACGACAGCCGAAACATCATGAATATGGCAATAAAGATAAGGACAACAGTCCAAACAATGTAAATCATGTAAATAAAACATCAATAATTTCTCCAAGATTTTCCTGGCCTTCTTCAGGTGGTTGGAATGTCGAACTGAACCCTTTATTTTGCTCACCGGGGTAGACTGTTCTAGTTCCACGTGCCATGTTTAATGGATGTCAGTTATCTCCTGCTAATTCCCCTCTCCAAGTTCTCCACTGCCTTAACCAGTTATTGAACTCACACTCTTTGGGTCCTGTCACTGGATCTAACCAACACCTTTATCCACTGTGCCATGTGTCCTCAAGGACACATGGCACAGTGTTCTATTCTATCAGTAATGTTTATTTTGACTCCTGATCCCTGACAGTACTTTGGAGTGTTAAAATATGGCTCAAATTAATCTTATGTCAAAAATTACAATAGTCACTGTTTAAACACTCAATTCCCTCATATTTTAGAAATATTTATATTAAGTGCAGGAAATGAGAAAAGCTCCACAGGTGGGGGAGATGGAATGTAGTAATAAAATCAATTAAAATGAAATAAGTATGATAAAAAAAAAAAAAAAAGAAGGTAGAAGCCTTATATGAGTTCAAATGAGTTGGTGTTAAAATATAACTGTTAGTATTGTTTCATGATTTTTTTTCTGTATCACAAAATCTTGCATTATTATTATTATTATTATTACCTGTGTGTGATCATTAGGATAAATGAAAATCTGAACATATTTATTTAAAAAAAAAAAATAGTACTGGCCATGATATCACATGTTTTATCTGGTTAGTCACTGGAAATCATAACAAGTGGTTCATTAAATCAGCACAAGGTGACATCTGGCATATGAAAGAGACTGAAATTTCACCCAATCAATGTGTTTAGGCTAAAGAGCTAACGAGTTTGTTAAGTGTGTTTAAATGTAATGATTTTTCTGCTTCTTAAAAGAAGGTAAAAATCTGTCATGTGCCTTTTGTTGTCTTCCTTGCATATGTTGATTATTTTAAAGTGAGTGTAAATAGATTATCAGGCATGACCTGATTTTCTTTAATCCTCTTGGACTATAATATGGAGGAATCAGTTTCTTGCTGCTAAAGAAGAAAGTGATGTCTCTTATCTAGAGTTTTGTTCTCATTCATCAACATCACACTGCCAACCAAAAAGAAATCTCAAAATTTGTTTAGTTTGAGATTTTTTTTTAACCCTTTATCACTCTGTATGTGACTTTGTTGTACAAAAACTTTATCCCGCCACTGAAAGTGACTCTGATCCCTGAACAATAAGGCATTTGAATTTGATAGTTGTGTTGTCATATCCTGCTAAGGCAACAGAAAACAACCTGAAAAGTGAAATTAGCAGTACTGATACTGCAGTTGAAAGGCTTTGAATGCAGTGGAAAGGGAAGTACTATTAATAATGCAGAGTGCTAAGGGTGAAATATGTTGTGTAAGTTTGTGTGGATTTCTTTGTGTGTAACTTAAATATACTAAATGGTGTAGTTAATAAATCCAGAATTAAGTCTTGTGAGTTTTTCTTACATAATCTATAAAATTCATGGCTGGATAGAAAAGCCACACAAACCTTTTCCCAGTGTGTGTGGTAACATTTATTTACTTAGGGTTATTCACTTTTAAAAAAATATTTTACTCTTTCTGTTTGAGTCTCAAGTTTGTCATTTGTTTGATAAAATTTCAGCATTTAAAAGACAGTAATTTTTTAAATTATTTTGATATTCTTTTGAAATTATGGTTGATTAGTAACTAATTTGAATTCAAAATTTTTCTGTTATTTTTTAATTAAAGCAATATTGGTGCACCTTCAGAATATTCCTTTGGAATTATTTTTACATATCTTTTCAAGTTTATAAAAGATCTGATACAGTTTTCATTTGTCACTTGACCTCTTTCTTGTTGTCTAATTGTGATGTACAAATAAAATCCAAGCTACCAATTTTCTATTTACATTGTTTAGATGATAGTTCTCATCTTTATTGTCATATTCATGATGTTTCAGCCATTGTACAGTCTGGACTTCTTCAGCTGATATATGTTGGAGTTTCAAACTGAACCCTTTATTTCATTTGCTTGGGTAGATTGTTCTAGTTCCACATGCCGTGCCCCTTCCAGATACCTCAGTTTCAGTTATTTCCCTTTAATAACTCAACTCGCAAAGTTTCTTTGGTCAGGTATTGAACTCAACTCTTTGGATGAAGTCACTGGATTACTTCAATGCTTTGGGCCATGTGTCCTTGGGTACCAATTTTCTGTAGTATTTGTAAATGGCTTCTTTAAGTATTGGTTTCAAGATTTTATTTTTTTGCATTAGAGAACCCTTTTAGTTTTTAGTAATGATTACCGATATCTACAAAAAGCCTTGGAACATTAACTTTTAATAATTAATATTTGAATATAAATTGAAAATAGTTATTTTATAAAAAACTATTTGTGTTTATTTTGATAGATTTAATATGGTCTACACTATTTCTCTGACCATAAAGTTCTGTTTCTTTTCATTTTGCTCTTTGTATTTGCATATTTTTTTTATTATTTTTTTTTAAAATACTTTCTTTAAAGCTCTTTAAAGGCATTTTTTATATTAAATCTCTTTTAAAGAAAATTCTCAATGACCAGATTGATGCCATAAGAATATAAAAATTCATCTGTGGCTC